TCTATGTCTGCAGCAAATAAATGAATGAATTGAATTGTAAGTACTAAAAACTAGTGCCCGTTTGAATTTAGTTCTATCTATGTAGTTTGAGACGCAGTTTGGCTTTGATTTATGGGTTTTAGTTGAGATACATAGATTGATATTAATTGGTTTTTCGAAGCTCCGATATAAGTAACTACAGGTAACTACGGAACCCTACACTGTGCGTGGCACGACACGCACTTGGCCCAGTGGCGTAGCATGGGGGGGGGGGGGGGCGGGGGGTGCGGTCCGCACCGGGCGGCACTTTGCCGGGGGCGGTGCTGCGGAGGTGGCAGATAGAGAAAAAAAAATATATAAAAAAAAGTTAATTTCGTTCAGTTTTTTTTCGTCATTTTTTTGTTGTTGTTACCATTAACCCAGGTACCTATGCAGGTTCTATGCATGGGTGATGCAAGCGAAAGGTTTCTCAATAACTATTATTTAGGAATTATTGTATTACGTTTTCTCTGTAATTTTTCTAAGTGATATTGTGATATCTACCTTCTACTCTATGTCAAAAAATGTTAATTTCACTCTTAGGTTAGTGTTATTCAATAAAAGTACTCTTTTTACCATGCCTCAATTTTTTATAATGGATTGCAAAAATAAGAGGGCGGCAAATTTGGAATCCGCACCGGGTGCTAGTGACCTATGCTACGCCACTGACTTGGCCGGTTTTTTATTTATAATTTTGGCGCATGTTAGTACCAAAGCTTCGTCGCACAGGTGTCAAAGAAGCATAATATTATGAGTCACCGCAGACATGCCACACGCCACAACCACAAGCGCCGCCACGAGGAAATTTGCGATAGCCAAATAATACAATTGATGGACTTGGTGTCATTTATTTTGTAGGTGACAAGAAAATGAAATAAAAAGATAAACAGAGCGGTATCCTAGATACATAGCAATGCTTTTATAAACAAAACATATTAATATACTTATATGTTGCCAACTACAACATACTACCAATGGAGTTCCTTAATCATACATTATCTGTATTTTTATCACACTAATATTATAAAGGCAAATGTTTGTGAGTGTGTATGTTTGTTAAATCTTCACGTCTAAACGGCTGGAGCGATTTTAATAAAATTTGGTTTGGAGTTAGTTCACACCCTGGATTAACAAATAGGCTACATTTCACTGCGGGAAAATATCCCTAATAAAGCGCGGGTAATACCGCGGGGCACAGCTAGTGACTCCATTAAAGATTCCTTCGCAATTATAATAAAATAAATAAATAGAACAATGAATTATAAAGCCAGTCTAATCTTTAATATTTTAAATGTATTTATACTTTTTTGCATTTAACGGATAGATGTCTAAAGCTAAAGAGTTTATTTTTCTAGTAAATCTTTCTTTAGATTTTCATATTTTTATTCCAAAAATATCGTAGGTAGGTAACTTGCAGCCGATCTAAAATGAATTGTTCTTAATCCCAAGTCTATTCATGTAGGCCCTATGATAACATTTGCATTAAGTGTTTCAATAATAATTAATTTGCTCGAGGTCTGGGTAATAACGAACGCTCTGCTAAGGAATGGCAGTAGCAATCTAATTTTAATTAAAAGAACACCTTGCGAGAATTGCCAGCAGCCTGCAACGGAAACAAAAGAGTAGGTACTTATATTAACGAAAAAGATGAAATATTAACTTTGATTGGTTGGGAAACGAGTGTTGCGCTATTATTTCTAAACCCGCTTAAAATGGTTTTTATAAGAGACTAGCGGCCCGCCCTCGCTTCGCTTCGGTGTAGAGCTGAAGTGTAGACTACAGTTTTTGCTCTCAGGCTTGTTTTATACACAATGACATTCATCTATGATTCTTCTTATACCTGCATGCAAAGTCTCAGCCCGATCGGGCCCAATGGCATAACGTGCCTTACGAAGCACGGAGGAACTCGAGATAGAAGAGTTATGGTCACCCATCCAATGACCGACCAAACCGATATAACCGAGAGGAAAAATAGAGCCTCTACAGGCTTGTGTTATGGGATAATATGGTAACGGATAGAGATAAATAGATGTATTATTGTGTAATTATTAATATTATAAGGTTGGTCCAATAACTTCCAGGTATATCTTAATTCGATTAAAAAAAATATAGTCTACAATTAGAAGTTTCCATTTTTTAGAGACAGGTACAAATTGCTCGATTATATCACACAAAAAAATTCACCGCCTATATGCAAACCCTGGGCCTCAAAGTGACACCTTGAAAATCGGTGTGTTCACAACTGCACCATGGAGATTGTCGAAATTTATAGAATTAACACCACCGAATGTTTAATTTAACTCAGAATTTTTTCCAAAAACATGAATGAATAATGAACAGCTCGCTCTCGTCTCTCAAATATACATTCCATGATTTTCACAACCATTAAGCACGTTTAAATCACCGTCCTTTAAATCGTTAAACCTGCTGAATATCCCTTTAAATGAAAGCCACCGTCTCGTTTGAAATCTATGGATTCATCCATTAGACATAATGGTCATATCCGATACTTTTTATGGATACAGTTCCATAGGTACTCTGGAAGAAAACCTTAATATTGCCTTCTAAATTCTGCACGCTACTTCAATCGCATCAATTTAGCAGTAACAATTTTCTTTAGGTATATAAATCTAGCAATTTATTGCTTACTGATATACTACTACTATAGAAAAACGACGGGTTGCACTCCGGGAGTGCCGGCAAAAGTGAAAACTTGAATATGAACGTTGTGCATTTTTGATATTTTGGAATGGTTAGGGAATAATTTTGCCCGAATTGTTTTAATTATCAGTATAAAAGTACTATCATGTATGTGGTAGAATACAATATTTATTTATTGCACTATCGTACAGAAACATCAACTTACATGAATCACGTTTAAGCGCACTTAGCGACATCTATTGTAAAGAAATCAACTTACATGAATCACATTTAAGCGCACCTACCGATATCTATTGTAAAAAAATGCATTTTGTTCGCAATAAAGCTGCCACGTGGACGTCCTAGATAGAGACTTATTATTATAATACGGTAAAATAAAATATTACTATGTTTCGTCCAATATATTGAAAGTCAACAACCTTTCCAATTTTATTGTGTGCCATGATGCGATCAGCCCACGTGTTTAACCCGACGCGAGTTTACCATTTTTTACCCATACAAAGAAAAGTGTACAACGCCGCTAAAGAAGTTTTCACTTCAAAAATGTTTCTTTCCCTCTTGCTTAACACAAAATAAAAGATAATTCAACTACAAGAAGACTCGCATGAAATTAATATAAATTAAAAGGCATTATAGAAAATATTTTCAGTGGCTATCAATCTTTAAAGAAACATCGTTAAATATGCATTAGGTAACCACAAGAATGCCTCACATCCACTAATATTAGGTCCTTGCGGTATTCCGGAATGCGTAAACCTACAAAAGGCCACGTTTAAATAGTTTCGATATAGAAACCCTTTTGATCCCACATGAAAGAAACGTTTCTACCGATAAAATACAACTAGAAGACGTAATATTTTTTAGGTCACACTGCTTACGTAACAACTCGATAGCGCAATTGGTTATCGCATTCGATCTGCACAATGCTTTAACCAATTGCGATTACAAAAACTTATCGTATCTCGAGCTCTTCCGTGCTTCGTAAGGCACATTAAGCCCTAAGTCCCAACTGCTTCTGCAGTCGTTAGAACCCACTAATCTGTACTGGCCCACGAAGTGGTGAATATAATCTCTCTAGTGGAATAAGGAGATTAAGGAAAGGAAGACCCTTATCCTTTATCATAGCAGTGGGGACATTAATAAGCTGTTTTTATTTTTATACACTACGCAACAAATAACCCCACCTCACCTGATGTTAAGTGTAAGTGGAGTCTAGTCGCAAAAGATAGATGATGCCGAAGAGGGTGTGCCGCTCCAGCCATCCTCATCTTGGCCGCCTAGGTCCAATCCCCTACACCGTGGAGGCACAATACATACAAGAGCAGTAGCGTAACTTAGCCGTTTTCTTGAAATAGATACCTATGAGTGTGCGGAGCGCTAGGGTTGGAACCTACAAAATGTAAAACAGATAAATGTACATTTTTATTGCATGTCTATACACATATCACTATACTATTGTCATGTTACGGAATCGAAACGGAGGCAGACGGCGCGGGCGGCTTAACTTATCTTAGCCAACGACCAGTCTCGGCGGCGCGCGACGTGGCACTGAGTAGATTTGTCATGCCAAGATTGGTTAGAGGCCGTGTAAATGACGTTTGTCTGTGTGCGTGCGTCGATTCGGGCGTTAGTATGAAGTCACAGTACTGCTCTTGTGTGTATTGTGGCGGAGCCCTGGAACACAACACACCAGCAGAAACACAAGACCACCAAAATGTAGTGTTATTTTAGTGTGGTCTTTTGTAAGGTGGAGGATGTTTCTTTCCCAGACCGACGCTCCAATTCTAAATCAAAATTCGCTATGCCCTTCCTCTATTGCTTTTCATTAATAGGCTGTGATGATCAATATGGCCTTTCTTTTGTTACAGATCTATCCAAATCGATGAGTAATCGCATTGTCTCCATTCTGGGCTTGTTCGAGCTGTCAGTGGGAGACGCCCCCAGGGCTGATGGGGCATCGGAGCTGGCTGCAGCCAAGCTGGCGGTGGAACACGTGAACCAGCGAGCTGTGCTGCCAGGGTACAAGTTACAACTCATCACAAACGATACCAAGGTAACTTAAATCAATCTAGGTTTAAAGCCACTTGTTGGTCAAGCGAAGGCCACTACCAATGTATAGACAATATATTTGTCTTCCTTGATAATGTTACACTTGCATAATTTGCCGAATACAGGGAAACGCCTACGTCCAAATACCTATTTTTTTTTATTAGGGATAACAAACAGTTGTACAATGCATGTTAAGTGAAAGGCTTACAATTATGTTATACTTATTGTACAACCAACAACATTATCCACTGATTAATACTAGGATTGTTTTGTTTTATATATTTCTATTATTCTTTTTCTATACTAAAAGAAAAATATGTTGTACACTACACAAATAAGTAACCAGTAGAAACAAAAAGCTTGTCGAGGCGTACCAAGGTAATACACATACTATACTTATAGTTAATACACTTGTTATGGTAAAAGATCATATACACTTTGACCTTGAAAGAAGTGTCTGAGAGCAGGAAAATGTCAATATCAAGTGAGCTCAAACTATCATTAAAGGTGTTCATTATTCTGTTGAACGGGGCACGCAGACCAGCTTAGTTAGTATTGACATATCCGGGACAGAATAGTTTATGTGGGTAGGCCTCACGGATACGGTGTGAACTGCTGGGTATTCTAAATGTAATACTGTCAGTCAAATCATTACAGTCCGAGGCGTACTAAGGTAATACACACATATTATACTTATAGCTAATACTTGTTATGATAAAAGATTATATGCACTTTGACCTTGAAAGAAGTGTCTGAGAGCAGGAATATGTCGATATCAAATGAGCTCAAACTATCATTAAAGGTGTTCATTATTCTGTTCAACGGGGCACGCAGACCAGCGTTAGTATTGACATATCCGGGGCAGAATAGTTTATGTGGGTAGGCCTCACGGATACGGTGTGAACTGCTGGGTATTCTAAATGTAATACTGTCAGTCAAATCATTACAGTCCTAATAATTATGTAATATATTACACAAGCAGGATATATAAAGTGACTCATTTCACGTCACTTGTCGACATTCGCTGTCGCTCACCAACATTTGTCTGACGTCGCCAATAATAACTGACAGCGCACCAACGTATGCGCAGCTCCACAGAGCTCATGTATATTGGCCACTTGCATTGGTCATCATCAAACTTGCCCAATGTCTAGACGGTAGCAAATGCAATCAGTTTGCCTACGCTCGCGTTGGGTTAAGCTTGGCCAACATGTATTGGCGGATTTACAGAAAACTACAGTAAATTAAACCTACGACTTAGGCCTATTTACAAGATTTTTTTCTACTTCTCAATTTAACTAAAACTAAATTCGTTATATACAATGATGTCAAATTGACGTTGACATTTTGTCATTTTTCTGTGGATTACATCTAGTTTTTGTTCAATCGAGGTTTAGCAAATTTACTGCAAGTGGGCCTAACAGTTTATAGTTACGTTATCGAACCTATTGCACGTAACGTGTAATGACTAACTCTCTTTTATAATTCCAAGGGGTTAACCACTTAACGTTTTCGGAATTGTGATAACATGGAGAAACCTATTGTCCCATTTCTAATCGAGTACCCTTGCCCACAGTGTGACCCGGGCGTGGGCGTGGACCGGTTCTTTCACGCTCTGTACACAGAGCGCGAGTCCAGAATGATGATGCTGCTGGGAACGGCGTGCTCAGAAGTCACTGAGAGCATAGCCAAGATCGTCCCATATTGGAACATAGTCCAGGTAGGTACACCTTAAAAGTCATAAAAATCACAATCATCATCAGCCTATTAATATCCCCACTGCTTGGGCACAGGCCTTTCCTATGGATGGAATAGGGAGATTGGGCCATGCCCCACCACGCGGTCCCAGTGTGGATTGGCGGGTGCTAACGACTGCAGATGTAGCCGGGACCAACGGCTTAACGTGCCTTCCGAAGCACGGAGGAGAAGAACTCGAGATAGAAGATTTTTGGTCACCCATCCAATGACCGACCACTGCGAAAGTTGCTTAACTTCAACGATCGCAGCCGAACGCGCTAACTACCTGCGCCATTGAGCTCCTCAATAATATAATCATAAAAATCACAAAAAGACATAAAAGCGCTTTTACATCCCAGTATTACTTTATCCCTACCACTGTTTCGGGACAATAAATGGGCCAGTGCTGAGGAGAAGTGCAGCCCCACGACAACGGCTAACTAGAAACGAGGTCCGAGTCTCAGAGACGCCCTCTAGTTTCGCCGCCCCCCTCAGGTTCGAGTGGTCTTGAAGCTCCAGACGGAGAGAAGATTCCCCCGCCAGAGAGATGCCATCCGCCTGGAATACCTCTAGAGGCACTCGCCAATTCTCGGCTAGAGGTCCCCTTAGGATCTCGCCGTCCCCAAACCTGGTGCCGCTGTAAAGGTCATCTGCGACCAACAGGTAAGGTCCTTACTAGGATAATCTTACTTACGATCTCATTTAGTCGGATTTCTGACAAATGTCAAATATCTAATACTGGCTGCTCCTACAGACATAGCGATATATTGTCGTATAATGGCGTAATACAAACCAAACTTATTACGTTTAAAATGGCAGCTACCGAAATCAGAAGGGAGATTTTATTTTACATTTTACTTAGCTTAAATAAATAAAATACACGGTAAGTCTTTTGTTCTAAGCAGTTATGCACAATATTGTTATTTATATAACACCAGCTTCCGCCCGCAACTCACTTTAGTTTTTGAGAACCCCCCAGGAAATTAAAATTCTCCTGGTGTAAAACCTATCCAGTATCTCAATCCAGCCTCCCTAGCATTAGCACCGCGATATGATATATATCGCATTTTATCACGCTCAATTGTCTAATTAGTATGGAGTTTAACAGTTACACACGATAAAAAACGTGATATACCTAATGTCAATTGTAGTGCTCATGCCACGGGGGCAGGTGTCGCAATGAGGGCTATCGCGTATGAATCCGCCGCTAAAGGCACTAGTGTAGCGTGAGGTCTCCGAAATGTCAAATGTTATTGCTTGTTGGTTGACTACGCGGGTTTATTTCTAATTAAAATAATGTTGTGAATAATTGGTAACAATTCGGCTTAATTATGGCAAATATGAGTTATGTGGCAATGAATGTCAGTTATTAAAAATTTGAGCTTAGAAAAATGATTATGTTCCCATTTTTTCCGAATAAAACGGAACTGCGCGTCACTGTGGCATGGCCTATTATGTTTATGATATGGTTCTTTTGTGTTAAAATACGATCTAAATGTAACCTTTGATTTCATGTGCGTATTAATAAACTTTAAAAGTTACAATTTAGGACCTCACTCAACAGTGGCGCCATCTGGTGAGGCAGAAAACGGTAGCCCTCATTGGTGCCAAATATGAGGAGTATAAAGTATATATAGTATGCTATGCTAAATAGTAAGAACTAAGGTAAGGGAGAGAGGGGTGGGGAATCGCGTGAGTGACGTGTGGCGGCGTTTTGTATCAGCGCATTAAGTGGCCGATGCGGGCCACAAGAAGCGAGCAACGACGATTTTTAGCGTGTGGTGGCCACCGGCGTACCGTGTGTAGCGAGTCCATATAAAATGTATGAAGACTGCAAGAAATATGCCGGTGGCGGCGTTTTGTGGTTGTGGTCAGTGGCCCGTGTGCGGTAACACTAAGGGTCTGCCGTTAAATTGTTCATAAAAAATATTTTAAGACACCTAAACGCAGACATGCTGCGATCACCTTTGAGAGTTAATTTTTTTGAAGAGCGCTCTCAAAGGAAACCTGTGGAAATAGTGAATCCCTGTTTCACCTACGGCAGGTGAAGGAGTTAATATGATGTTTCTGTGGTCAATCCTAACCTCATATTGGGAACGTCTAATGCACGTAACATATGAGTTTCCGTTCTTAACCATTTCAAAGTTTGCGACGTTCAGTCGGAAAGTTAGACAGCCAACCAGCAGCTCCGAACATTCTCGAACTGCAATCGAATTAGAGCTCAAAGGCGAGGTGGACACGGTCGATATCAATATAACGGTTGATCAGAACGCTACTGTCAATATTTGATTACCCCTTTAGGCTTTAATCGGATTGTTATCGGCGGTTGAAACTTGCACTAGCATCATATTCTTTGGTAGAATGCTGAATAGAAATTAGCAACGTTAAATAAAAAGCCTTTTAAAACAGATGTGTTTACTGAAGCTACTAGATGTGTGACTAAAAATCTCGTTCTCTCGAATAATAATATTTTTAACTTACTCCAAATGAATCTCTGTGGTCTATTGTAATAAGAACTGTGTCACAGACACCAGTGACTTCTTCGATTAAACATTTCAAACATTTGAAAGAATAAATAGCAATTATAGTTAGGTATATATATTATTTAAGCATTGTACTGCTAGATATTAAAATCTAAAGAAAATTTTACTAGAAAAAAAATTAATAGGACAGTGCATTCGCACGGATAGCGAAGGGTGCAGGTATGAGTCCCGTCTGCTGTCTGGTCCGCATGGAATTTTATCTAGATTTTTTTTTAGATTTTAACATTAAATCCATTTAAATTATCTATATGCGGCAGTACAATGTTGTTAAACAACAAGCAAAACAAACTACCTATACCACACCACCACATCCACAAAAGTTCCGGTATTCCCTAGAGAGATTTTATGATTTCATTCTATTGATGTGGTGTCCCGGTTTGTTTGATCTCAAGACAGGCAGACACTTTGTAGCCGACGTTCACGGTATTTTCAAAGGTGTAAAATTGTTACGAACAATGGAGAGTATCTTAAGTATGCGGTATGTTAATAATTTCAACTTCAACCTAGTCTTTCTGTCTTTTACGCCTTCACATTGAACCGATTTTTATAAAGTTTGGTATGGAAATAATCCTCTGAAAGGGACTTTTACTTCTAACACGAATAATAAGGCCCCCGCTGGCTAAAAAGCGACTTATTATCAGCTATTTTCTCTGTCAAAGAACATATTATATACATAGTAAATATGAAGGGGGTCCTTAGTATATGCGATGGTGATAGGTTTCTACCACGGATAGAATCAGAAGGAGTAATAAAATGAAAAGAGGTTTCGTATCAAATATCGGCACAATTACATTCCGTGTAAACAATAGAGAGAGATACATTCATTAATGGTTGTTTAGTGTCCCAAATATGAGGTGGAACTAACTAAATATTTCAAACAAAAGAAAATGGTAACGTGATTCAGTGAACTATTCCTGCCATCTATCGTACAAAAGGTTAAGTAATTCTAAACAATGATTGGTCGCTGACTGATCACACTGCCGGCGAGAACTCGCTCCACCAGTATGTTGGTAAGCGATAAGAGCTACTTTAGATAATACTCGCTCAGCGAAACTCGCTTGGCCGTCAAAACACGTGCGCGTACATTTTTACTCGGAAATGATTTTTCACTTTGCTATTTTTTTGCAGGTGTCTTTCGGCTCGACGTCACCAGCTCTGTCGGACCGTTCCGAGTTTCCACTGTTCTGCCGCACTGTCGCGCCAGACTCCTCCCACAATCCTGCCAGGATCGCATTCATCAGGTAAACTTGTTGTGGCTAACTGAACTTTTCTATGTAAAAAAGCCGGACAAACGCGAATCGGACTCGCCAACCGAGGCTCCGTACAAATTTGTAGGTACACAGTATGAACGACTGTAACTTTTTTTTTAACGTTACTTTCACATTTATTCCAAAAATCGTAATTTTTGAGCGCCTCGTTCACCCCCTTAGAAAAGATTTAAACTATTTTCAATAGATTTATTCTTCCTATCTCTTATCTATTAGACAAGTCCGTCCGTCTGTCTGTGGTGCTGTTTCAGCGGCCAAACCGTAAGAGATAGATAAAGCGAATAATTAAGTTATAAGTTAAGAATAGTCTGATAAGACTACAAACCGGATTTGAGTAACGTTGCACTTCCGGTTTTCGAGAAATCAGGTTTTGGTGAACATTTGGTTCACTGGTTTGCTAGTTATAAGTTAATGTAGAATATTTGCAATACTACTTTCCTTTTCTTGTACTGATCGTTCTACCACAGCTAGTTTACGGAAAATAATTTAGTTCAATAAATTAGATCAAATTAATTACTACGACATCAGAAATATGTTTTTGTTGTAACATAATGTATTAGAATTTAGATTTTGCATCTCATTAATTATCAAAAAAAAACATCTAACCTCCGTGAGTTTTCAGAAAAAACAATGTAGGTTTACCTCGTATTTTGATATTGAATTAAATAGAATTACTATCAAAAACTTTCATAAAACTAATTTACCATCATTGAACTACTGAAATATGTATATATTTTTATAATTAGTTCATTAATAATTATTTTATAACACTCGAAACATCACCCGTAAAATGCAATATATCCTAGTGCAAATCTACCTACGCGCCGATCAGTACGAGGGCTCTTAACTTAAATGTGTGATATTTTCACAACTTCAAGGGACTGTAGAAATGTGAATATGGGATAAATTTCATTTAACACGATACCTTTATGCGTTCCCGAGATAAAGGTTCCTGACAGACAGATAGTTAAACGGCTGTTCCTTTTTTTTCGTTAACTTGTAAGTTTGGCCCGTCCCGTCTGCTTTCTCGACGGCGTGGATTTTTTTCTAATAAAATTTTCTTTACATTCTAGCATTTCGCAGTTAAATGCTTAAAATTAAAATATAGTTGACGACCACCGTGGCCGCGTCGTATATATGTCGTGGCCAAATCGTAGATTTGCTCACTTCATGAAATACTCGAGAATTTCATGAAATGGTTGTATTTCAAGGTTCAGAGAGTCGCCTACTCGCGAGGTCCCGGGTTCGGATCCCGGTAAGGGCAAACGTTACTATGATGAATACGAGCCTTTACACCTTAGTCATGGATATTTATATATATTTATAGATAAAATATATTTATATATGTATTGTATTCGTTACCCTAGCATCCCGTAACACAAAACTTGCACTGCTTATTTTAAGGCTAGGTTAATTGGTGTGAGTGTTGAAAATATTTATTTATAGTATATTAGAAGTTTGATTTTTTCAAAGCATCAAGAGGTCATAGACTTGGTTTAAATTTCAACTCGATACCTCCAAGCGCTCCCGAGATAAAAAATTGTGTGCTCCGACGCACGACCGGAGTTTACACTTTAAAAACGATTGTCTTTGAACAGACACAAAAAAAATCAAGTCCGAAGAAGTCGGTTTCAAGTAGAGATACCTCAGGAATCGTCCCATGGTTTCGACTATCATAGGTTCCATGTCACACATTTTATCATCTAACATCAGCGATATTCATCATACATTTTATTATGTATTTCTGGAAACACACTATTTCAAAAATATCACACACTAGTCACTAGTCATCATTTTGTAAATATGTATTATAATTCCATCTGTACTGAAAATCACTATTCCAGAGTGCTGGACACTTACCGGCATTTCTCTATATTCTGTAATTTATTTGTTTTCATTAATTTTGCTCCGATTTTATCTATTTTAAGTTTATTTATTTTATTGACATTTGTGACAACTTAATGTTTTTTATCCGTTGCCATGGCTAAAAGTGAAAGGTGCGCAGATGAGGTTGCGCACAAAAACGTAACGAGGTCATTAATGTCATTCATCGATAGATTTGACTCCTCAGATTATTCTCATATCGGGCCCCTTATATATGCAAATCGATTCTTAAGGAGTAAACTCCAAAAACGGGTCTAGACAGAGACCGACAAACGGAGGACAAATTGATCCTATATGGGTTCTGTTTTTTCCAATTGAGGTACGAAACCCTACAAACGTGATGTTTCTTCAAATTGGGCTCAATGACCTCCCAGCTAGCAAAATTTGGTCTTACAGATATCCTAAGACCACTTTTATTTTACTCTTGATTTACACTTTCAAAGATCTGTAAGTGTCGATTTGGGCGCACTTTGTAAGTGTGTTTGCCCTTACTGTTATTGCATTAAGGTCTTGAGGAGAGTATTTTTAATCTTACAATGATCTGCATATTGCTTATTTAGTGCTTTATACTCTTACAAATACCTTACACTGGCAATGTTAAAGGGCAAAAAGTCCTAGTGAAGTCTTACTAATGCCGTTCTAAGAGTGATTTCCCTGATTTAAGTCTTACTAATGCCGTTCTAAGAGTGATTACCCTGATTTGTCTCTTCGTGACGCTCCTTTAAGAGTATTTTTGACCACTACCGAATATTGTTTGTATCGCGACTGTGCGCAACATTTATTCTAATCTTCAAATGTGAATTAAAGTAAGTATTTAAGTTTAATTTAATTTTGACTTGTTGCTGACAATTATATTTGTGCTTTCGTGTTACTATAAGACTATAAGTTGAACTACTTGCGAAGTACATTTATTCGAAGGAATTGTAAAATAAATAACTTTGCATACTCGGGCCATTTCTCATGTGAGTTTTAAATAATAATTTCATTATTGTTTTTTAGTCGAAATATTACAAAATCTCTCAACTTTTCTATAATGGCCGATATCGCAATAGTGTGCTCTTGGTTTAGCGCGAATAAAGCTCGATGTATCTTATATGGCTCTTGTTAAATACGTTGTAAGTTCAATGTTCTTTATACACACTTGCATAAGGAATGTTCGACCGCCATTGTTGGTATGTAATATTTAGGGTTCCTTGGGCCAGATAGAAGGATCCTTTTTTGAATCGCGTGAAATGCTGTATGCCACGGTGGCCGAAACAGCATTCCTGAACACTGAAAATGGAAGAGTCATTAGGAACTTCTAATACTTTATTAAACATTTTTTTTTTATTGTTGTTCTAGAGTAGCCTGCAGTATTAGAATGGTTATTATAATGGATGTCGATTGTTTTTTAAATAAGAAAATAATCAGAAAACTCAAGAACAAAAAATGGCCTTGGACCTTAACGCACTTTATACTGTCTAAAAAATGTATCGCTTGTGAATACGCTACATCATACGACAATCCACAGAAACCCCTACATTTTAAGATAAGACATAATGATATAATTAAATTATTGCACTCAAGTTTCTTCTGGTGTCAAAACTGCCAAGAATTTGCAATATACGACCACTACCCAAATGACGAATGTGAAGTATGCAACTAACTAACCGATTATAATAAGCTAAAAATCCTCATAAAAATATAAATACGTAAATAATAATAATTTAGGTAGGTAACAACTATTTATCACTAGGAACACTCAAAAATCGTAGCGCGGCGGGAAGCAAGTGTGAACTGCCGGTGAATCAAAAGGAGTGTTCTTATTGGTTCGTCAGTTGACATATCTGAGAAGCGTTCCCCCACCGCGCCTGTACATCACTTCATTTCACCAACATAAACAAAAGTCACGCGTTCGGCAAGTTCAAGGCTAGAGTTTGTTTAGTTGCGCTGGCGTTATGTTGTGGGTGATATGATACTGCCGCGCCGCATGATTATCATTATTACTTGTCGCTTATCACGAAAGAAATAAATATTGCATTTTATAAGTATCGGTATGTGTTTAAAATTAGTGAAAGTGTTTGTTTTTAGTGTTTTTATAGGTAATATAATGCAGTTTTGTGACTTAAGCAAACTTTACTTTTTTCAGATAAGCCAAAACTATGCCCTACAAAATAGTTCAAACGATAGAAAAAGGAAGGCCTGTATTAACTGCAGTGCCGGACGGGTGGGAAATTAGTGGAACTTTATTTTGGCCAAAAAAGCATGAAAAATTGAGGAGAATTGAACATTCCAAACCGGAGACTAATTGGCGGCCAATAAATTGCATTCTAAAAAGATCAAACTTGTCAAGTTTTTCCCAAGCTGAACAAGAAATTGATAGCATGTCCAACGCCTCCGATACCGAGACTGACAATGATAATGTTAGTCACACAAGAAATCACAATAAAAAGAACATATCCAAATTTCAACAGGCCTTTAACGATATGGCAAGACAATGTTGTGATGTGAGTATTGTAGAAATCATGTAAAAATGTTTTTTTACAGGCAAATTTATTGCATGCTATTATAATTTTTAATCCTTATAATCCTGCCTACTGCGCGGGACTCGCAGATTTGATCCCCGCCAAGAGCAAACATTCATGCTAAGAACATTTGCGTTTGCCCTGTTTCTGGGTGATTGTATACACGTGTATGAATATACCTACAAGTTTATAATGTAGGTACTGGGTTTCTATCTTAAAATAAATAAAATATTTTAGTGCGAAAGGATCAAATATTTAAAAAAATATATATTTTTATTTTCCATTTCTTCTGTAGATGTCGTAAAATGTGACTAATTAATAGGGCGCACTAGGTACCTACCTTTATTTTAGGCGACAGGCTAGCAATCTGTCACTATCGAAGTAGTTCCACCTAGTGCCCAGGTATGCTAAATGTGGTCTCGCTCTGGTACCATTGCCAAGCGAGTTGAAGCGAGGCTCTGCTCACCCTTCACGGGAAATGAGCGTGACTTGTATGTATGTATGTAAATTTTATTATTATTTTATATTTATAAATTAAATTTTAAATTTACTACGTGTTAAAAAAAGAGAACTAAGTAAGTATTT